AACAGTTAAATTTTTTAAATAAAGTGATTATTTATTTATCTCTATTTAATCTCCTTATTTCATGAATTTACACAGTTCCTTCAAATAGTTTTCTAATCTAATAAAGATCTTTCTCACAGCAAATTTTTTGAATTCTTGTTTATCATATGACCACATTCGAACAAATTATGAATTTCTTTATCAGACCTAGCTAACGTAGTTTTAAAACAAATGAGGTCACTCTTAAAATTTGGATATTTATTAAAGATTTATCTTTGAATAAACTACTTTCAATCATATATCATCAATTAAAATAAGAGTAACTCCTAACTCATTCTTTTTTTCCATCTTAATTTATTATCAAAAAGTATTTTAATTATCTTCCTAAATAATTCCATTTAGTTAATGAATCTTAAATATCAGATAAGAGGTAGCTATAAAATATAGATTATGATACATTTCTATTCCCTTTAAGATAACTCTTCTATTATCAAAGGACTCATATAAAACGCCAAGTTTATCTTTATTAGTGTTTCGTTAAATAATACTAACTTACTTCAAACTTTCTTTAACATTTACTAATACATTGGGAATAAGTTCCTAGATAGATTGGGAATGAAATTGCTTATAAAAATAATGATAGTTACTTATTAAAAGAAAGAAATCAAATGATATGGGTAAAGAGAAATAAATAAAACATATGGTTAGACATTAAATAACCTCGAAGTCAACTAGTGATCCCAATATACTAAGATATTAAAAGCTCAAGAAATTTATTATTATACATTCTCAGATATTTTTCTTCAATAATTTTGTTATAATACAAAATTGAGTTTATCTTTATTTTATACTTAAATTGCTTATTCTTAGTGTTTTAATTTTTGAAAAATAACTAATGTGGATTGTACCTTCTCTCCTCCTCTGTATTAACTGCTTTTAATACTTAAATTCAAAATAGAGGAGTTAATTCGAAGAAAATGAAATAAATCAAACTCAAAGCCAGTAAACATTTCAATAAATTTGCATTGATTAATTATTAAAATTTAATATAAATTTTCCCATCTAAATGATTTCTTCCCTTTATTTGAAATGAAATAAATAAATTGTTAATATTTATCAAATAAAATAATATTTTAAATTTCAACATAAACAGAGATATCTACATAAATTTCATAAGTAGAATATTGAGTATAAGACAAAGGAATTATTTATAAATACTTTCATTGTTTATATTATGATGAAGTTAAAAAATCAACTTTTTTACTATCTTGATTTAATCTCTCAAAATCACTCAAATCATTACGTTATTTATTTCATTAATTGGTGAATTATCAGATTAGAAAAAGAATAAAGATTTGATGTGAATATCTCTTTCAAAAAATAATTTATCTCCCTGATCTGATCATATCTCACTATATCAACCAATCTACTTATTAGAAAGTAAATCATTCTAACCTTTTATTAATAAGTTGGCAATCATATACTACTTTTTTTACAACTTTACCTTTAAAATAAATTATTAAGAGATATTTTTTTTGTACTTATTTAACAATCTGTTGAATTTTGAGTAATCATTTAATTGCTATTCTACTTTCCGACTTATGCTTAATTATATATATATCTTAATATATAAAACTATGAGTGATCTAATTTTTAAAATTCTAAGTTCTTAATATTATATCATCTAAAACATTATTTTTATTCAGAGATATTAAGAGTGATGTAGTATTATTTAGTAAATACTTAAATCAGTCAATAATTCCTAAAAACGATTGATCTAAATTTACAATTACAATATTAATTTGCTTTATAATAGCTAATTTAATTTTTTATAAACTATTTCTGTTTGGTTTTAAGAGAATGATGATAAAGTCAGCTTTTGATTTTTGCATACTCAAATATCTGAGAAATGCAAATTGTAACAAGATTAATTAATTTCAGATAAAAGAACAAGTTTAAAGAGTTTGAGTTCAAAATTATGAATTTCAAACTGTTCTTATTTATCATCAGATAAGAAAATTGTGCATAACTATTGATCTATCTTATATTTATTTACAGTGCAAGTTTCAGCTTTCAATATGTAAATAATGAATATAAAACTTATGGATTAAAAAGAGTATATAAGTAACCTAATATCAACGTAATTTCCTTTATAATTTAGAATGAGTTTGTCTAAAGGTGATGAATAAATTATTCTGAATTTAAGAAATCATGGCTTTGCGAATAAATACTAAATTGAATCAGAATATAGAATACTTAATAATTGCTTAGATTACGTTCTAAACATCTAATTTAATAGACTTCCATCTTAACTAATTCACTAATGAATCTGAAAATTGAAATTTAATTCTTGGGTTTGGAATTAAATCACTAAAAGTTAAGTTATTGAAATGATTTCTACTTTTAATAATATGTATCTTGCAGATGAAAAATTAGTAATAAATACTGCTAGGTATGATAAATCCACGATTTCCAATACAAAATAGATAATCATTGATCTAAAAACGCTAAAAGTTTTGTTGGTGATACAGAAAACTTCACTTATAGTTTTATGCATTTTTAGAATAAGAGATATCAAAATTTTCTTTTTCATACATTTCCCTAATTTAGAGAAATAGATCTTTTTACTATGTTTTTTAGATTTATCATTTTATATTTATGAGCACTAGTCTTACTCAATACTTTTAGTAATTTACATCTACTTTATAAGACACATGCAAACCTACGGAAATCAAAAGGATATTTATGAAAATTTTGGAAGCCTATAGTAAAATTTGTTCATAATTTGAATCTTGTTATTTTAAAAATTTCCTACTTTTAAGATTAAATTTTAATTCAATCTTAAGCGACTAAATAAAAAGCTTTATATAGTTATTCAAAATCTTAATACAATTGACCTTCATTTTACTTAAGTGATTTTCCTTAATTGATAATATTTAATGATGACTTAAATCCATTTGGATATTGCTCCGTATCTGATGTCTATTATTTAGCGAGCAATTTTGTTACACTTATTATTTTATAAAAAAATTTATTCTTTTTATTTTTCAATAATTAATATACATTTTTCTTGTTTCTCTTTTATAAGACAAGGCTACATATTAAATAATTTTGATAAATTCTACTTGAATGTTTGACTAATTAATAAATATATATCTGTAATTTGAAGCTTTTACAAAATTTGCTAATCTTAATCAAAAGCTTTCGTTTAGTTCTGATTCACTCTGCTAAAATAATGATTTAAATTTTAACTGAACTTTTTGCAATATATTTTCATTAAT